ATATCTGACGTTTTAAAGTAATTATATAAGATATCGATTTTAAAATACTAAAATGTTGTTTAGGGTCAAATAATAATATGAATACGCTACAAACTTCCTGATTTTACCATGCACATTTAGCCCGGCATAGCCAATACATCATCGCGAAAAGCGACACTTAACGAATTCGTAAACTCCGATGTCAGACACGGACTGCAGCAATGTCAGTACTATGTTCTCAATACCTGCTATGTTTAACACTTTTTGGATTTTTTTTGTGTATTATGAATTTATGATTAATCCAGTTTTCGTGGAAATAGTCGCATTTCGGCTTATTTGAAATAGAATAGTCCGTACGAATAAATCACGCAGTCTATTCATACGAAAAAAGAAAAAGCAATGAAAAACGTAATTCAAAMATTTMTWAAMRTAATCTAGTTAACCGTGATTCGAAAAAAATAGTCGTGAGTCGTGAAATCGCCAAATTTCTAGCCGTGAGTCGTGATGCGTAGCACCCCATTGAGACCCTCCTACAATGCACAAAAATGCCGCGGCTATACGAGCGATTTTTTTCGCTTGCGAAGGCGACGCCATTTTCGTTCGGATGCGATTAAACCTGAACATCGAATTTGAGCTGTTTTTGTACATATACCTCTTTATTGAAATTCAAATAAGTATTTGTGAGGATTTTTTATCGATACAGCATTGTCGCTCGTGTAGCCACTTCATGAGCTGGTGATTTTGAGAAAGTCGCGTCGCCTGCGCAAGCGAAAAATTGCCTCGTGTAGTCGCAGCTTTAATGTACTCGATGTTTTCGGAAGTACATGACTATGTATATATACTATGTTATGTACTTCTGATGTTTTTCCATTGGCAGGTTCTGTCGTTTTTAAGAATGGTACGGAGAGGTTTGAAAATCACTTACCGTAGAAGAGGACAGTTGTACTGTAAAAATGGTTTTATCTTGAAAATAANGAGGAACAATCCCAGGAGGAACAATCCCAGGAGGGTACAGGAGAAACAATCACAGGAGGGCATAGGAGGAACAATCCCAGTAGGGTACAGGAGGAACAATCCCAGGATGGCATAGGAGGAACAATCCCAGGAGGGTACAGGAGGAACAATCCCAGGAGGGCATAGGAGCCGAACAATCCCAGGAGGGCACAGGAGAAATAATCCAAGGAGGGTACAGGAGAAATAATCCCAGGAGGGCATAGGAGCCGAACAATTCCAGAAGGATTCAGGAGGAATATTTTCAGTAGGTTATTCAAGGCGAGAAATAAATTCTTGATGAGTCTTACTTGTCAATTCTGACTAATAATTTGTTTCTGATTTKTTTCGATCAATCATAATTGTCTTTATTTTTAGAATGTATACAGCAAAGACTGCATATTTGAAGAGCGTCAAGAAGAGAATTTTTACCATTCTTTTAGTTCGCATCGTTATAGCAATATCGGTTGGTACGTTGCACTGCGAAGGAACGGGCAAGTCAAGAAAACAACTGTATTACAAAAAGCTACACAGTTTCTAGTTTTATTTTCATGATGAGGACAAGAATGTCGCTCTAGTGAACGTGTGTGAAAATTGTTTGTTTTATATGCCAGACATTGATATTGAAGCAGCTTGTACTGTTGTGGGGAACAAGGAATGCGCATGCCCGTGGAATGAAYACTGTTGAAGCCTGGACTTTGTTATGCAAAAATTTAAAGATGAAAACTAATAATAACGCAACTGAAGAGGAACAATAATAAGAAATCAGTTTTTATACGTGACCATCATTGGTACAAGGTGAAAGGGAACTATCCAAAAACCATTACTTAACAACACAAAAACTTCTCGAAGGAATTGTGGCAAAATCAGAAATAACATTTAATGGCATCAACACTAATGATCAAACAACGGCTTTAAAAAAGGCCGGAAAGACGATTGCTGTGGAAAAATAACGACTGCTGCAAGGCAGCAAAGCACTATGGGAAAATGACAACTGTTGCAAGGCAGCAAAGCACTGTGGGAAAAACGACAACTGCTGTAATGATGCAGTGGGAAAATGACAAATACATTAAAGAAATATTACGTGAAACTGACAGTTGCAGGGAGGCAGAAAAGAATTGTGGGAAAGAACAAATGCTRTGCAAGGCAGTAATGCATTGTGGGATAATGACAACTGCTGTAAAGCCCCGGTCAAACACTATGTAGTAAACAAAAAAATTGAATGAAAATTTTCGGGATCAAAATCATTGAAAAAGGACTTAGGAATTTCTAATTTTATCTCAACTATTTAGTTCTGAATTGAAGACGCAGTCCACACTGGTTGATCTCTCACAGTGGGATAACTATTGATGGTTTGACMGGGGCTTATAGCATTCTGACCGAGATGAATAAACTTTTGGCAAATCTCAATAAAAATATAAATGTTCTAGTTGCATCACTTGATTTAATTATTATTTTTTTCTGAATAWGCATTAATTGATCAAGTTCAGTGTCCCCTCCTGAATGAAATATATATTAAGTATTTCCCATCGCCGGTGAAAAGATTCTAGAAACAAAATATTCTCTTATAAATCACTTTAATACATCAAACTAGACGCTTTTATGCACAGTTTTATGCAACAGTGGCGGGGATTTTAACAATGGATGTGCCCACGACTACCGGGCTAACTATTTTGGAAATTGAGAAGCACAGGATATTACATGGTTGCGCGGATGCGCGAACAAGTGAAAAGATTTTAAACACGATAAGATAAAATTCGTATCTCCAATCGAGCATGTAATATTCTGCCTACCATATGATATATGAAAGGGAATTATGGCGAGGAATACCTTGTTTACCTAGCAGGAATGCGTTATTTTCACTAGTTTTATGGAATTTTGTACATATACAACACTCTCTCACATTAACCCTTTGACTTCTGCTTTTGGGAATATCATTCCTACTGGAACAATGTCTCTATCAAGAAATCGCCAGTCCTCATGTTCACAAGTGAAGGTCTCCAAATTGGCACCACAACTACAACTAGTAGCTTAGCTCTATGTCCTCTATCTTATCGCAAAAAATATACGTCCTGCTATGCATTGGTTCAATTTCTAATATAAGTAGTAGATAATAGAGATACAAAAGCACACAAAAATAGAGAATCAATTGTAGTCATAAAATCAAATCATGGGTGTCATCAAGACGGAAAGAAGTCACGATAATGGAATGAGAGAATGATTTCCCAGTATGCCTCCAGAACGAGTTTGTCTATCGAGGGGATTGCATTACTAGTTCGAGCTGGTGACCGTGCAGCGGTAGTGATTTATCTAGTTCGGATGCAGTGCWGTCAATTAACTACGGCATGTAGATTCTCTGTCTGCGGCTACAATAGGTCGTTTGCATTATGACGTAACTTTACTACCAGAGAGCCTTGCGCATTTTCATTGTTAATCCCCTTGGAGATTACAGCAATAAAACAATTGGCACTAATTGCATTACAAAAGAAAGTTGGCAAAGCATTTTGGTAGTTGTAGTAWATGACGCCATAATGCATATCGCCTATAGACTTCTGAACCTTTTACGTCACAATTTGATTTACAGCCAGTGCATTGTGGGATCACTTTCTAGAGAAAACAAAAGAAATCCGCCATGTTCTGTCCCAAACATATCCTACAATGCATTGCGTTTACGGTATATGACGTAAAAGCTTCAGAGGTCTATTGTTGCTGCAGTATTCGTTCGTCGTCGAGATCAGAACTGAATGGGCTTCCTGTTCGTGTAAGGAACGCCTGCCAGAACTTGCGGCTAAATACAGGAATCGATCCCGATCCTGATTGGTCGAGAGAACAATAGAAGTACAAAAAGRTGTTCGGACTTAACGTGTTTGTGGTCCTTGCACGAAACATTGACTCAGTGTCCAAAAAGTAAATATGAAGGCGCTAGCAGAAGCACTATGTACTTTTTCTGGTAAGTGTTGAACGAATTCACTGATCTATAAAATTTTTGCGGGAAATTTGTGAAATTCAATGGTGCGTGTTGGCGCGCCCWGAAAACAACAATAGTGGATCTGGCGTACTGAAAGATCGTTTTCTTTTGATCGTTTTCTTTTGTAAATTTGGAAGCATAAAGTGTATAGGACATCAAGGCACAGCAAAACTTGAAACAAAACTCCTGGTGTTCTGTTGTCAAAAGAACCCCATGTACGGATCCATATGATTTCAAGCTGGTTCTGTTCCTCTAGTTCGTTTATTCTGTGCTCATACTGCGCCCTTAAAATCCATGCTTTAGGAACTTCATGCTTTTTAAAAATTCTTAAAAGCTGACACAAAAGAATATGTTTTCAGCGATTTTACTCTGGAACAGGGTATCAATTTCAACGAATTTTCTCTGGAACAGGGTCAGATTATTGATGCTGGATAAAAATTCATGGGGTAAAAATTCGGTCTACACGCAAACAAGCTAGTGCATTTTACTCTGGGACAGGGTATCGTTTTCAGCGATTTTACTCTGGAACAGGGTATAGTTTTCAGCGATTTTACTCTGGAACAGGGTATAGTTTTCAGCGATTTTACTCTGGAACAGGGTATAGTTTTCAGCGATTTCACTCTGGAACAGGGTCAGGGTTTTGAGGTCCCAGCGGCACACCCCCACCCAAGTTTCGGGGGAGTACCCCCCCAGGTTGAAATCGCAATGATTGAGAAATGTCTGACTGTGTTATTTTTCTATTGGACAAAATATTATGTATATTATTGATTTTTTTAAGAAACCTTGTCATGTTGTTGTGAGTGTCATTTCTGTAGTTTGACTTGCAAATGATATGCAAATGACYAAATGTTCTTTATCTATTTTTTGCATAGATTGCTTTCTATCATATTGGTGTTTTCAAAAACTCATGCATGATTAATGAGCTACTAGGCCAATAGAATGAGCCTATATGGTCACATTCATGGACGCTTATATCTGATAAAACACTCCTTATTAGTATTCTTTATATAAAGAATACTAATAAGGGTGACCTTTATCAGATATAAAGGTCCATGACCCTAGCAAAGGTCTCAGGTTTGAAACCTGATCATTGACCAATGCAGGATGTCAACCGATTGCAGTGGACAGATAAGAGCAGTTCTATTTTACTTTATGCATATTCAATGTGGGATGACAAGAGTGCTGTTGTAAAGTGATTCGCGCATGATCAGTTTGCCCCATTTATCTCTGAAAATATTTGTACGTCAATTTCTCCAAGAATTTTAACGGATTTGAGTTTCAAATTAGTGTTGGAGTTTTTGAAGCCGTTTAAAACACTCGAGATCGTGTTTAATCAAAAAGATTCTCGCCTTCTGCTCGAATCTTTATACCTGATAAAACACTCTCTCTCGTGTTTTAAAAGCTGTATACAACATTCACTACACCCTTGAGGTATAAAGAACATCATTCAATACCATAAAAATCAACAAAAAATAGTTTGTTAATTTGAATATGTATATTCCCATGTTACGTCGCAGTATTTTTTGCAACAAAGAAATAACGACATGACCAAAAAACCTTTAAATGAGTTTTTGAAGCGGTTCAATAAACTTGCAAAATTAAGTCATGTTTTATCGGGTATAAAGAATCTTGCCTTCGGCTCAAATCTTTATACCTGATAAAACACTCCTGCTCGTTAATTAAACACTACATAAAGTACACTGTTTTCTGGAAGAAATGTAATTTGTTACTTTCAATAGTTAGGTGGATGCTTCATTATAATTGGATATGATAAACACGTGATAATCACTAAGTGTTTTTAAATGTAAGATATCGTTAGTTCTATAGTTATTTCCACATAAAGGCTCTCAATTTTGTGCTTTATAAAACGTCTGAAGAATAGCACCCTGTTGCCAACTGTCGTTTGATATAATTTCTTTTCATGTAACAACAGATCAACTTATATAACCCAGTGAATTATGTTTAGCCAACATTAAACCTGTTCATTTAGCAACATGCAAGGTTTATTCAGATATCTCAAAAAAATTGTTATGATATATAATGATATTAAGATGTTATTGAAATACAGTAAGCAAATAACATTAAAGTAAATCTAAATTTATTTGGAATGTTCTATCTTTTATGTATAGTAAAATAAAAACACAATCTCTAGTGTTTTAAAAGGCTTAAAAAACTCCAACACTAATTCGAAACTCAAATCCGTTAAAATTACGTGAATCACTTATACACAGCACTCTTGTCATCCCACACTGAAACGCATAAAGTAAAATAGTGCTTGGCTGTTTTTTTTTTTTGCAATCAGTTGACATCCTGCATTGGTCAATGATCGGTATCAAACCTGAGCTTTTCTAGGGTCATGGACCTTTATATCTGATAAAGGTCACCCTTAGTATTCTTTATATAAAGAATACTAATAAGGAGTGTTTTACTGATTTTATTGGCCTAATGTCTCATTAATTATGTATGAGTTTTTTCATTAATTATAGTCTTTCTAGCTTAATTCTACTTTATACAACTTATCCTGCTAACGATTTTAATTGTTAATAATTAATACTATTCTAAAAACACTGAATACATCAGCTACGATAATGAGGTAATGACAAATATATACTAGCTGATATTGCTCAATAGTCCCTGTATTCTTCTTCATGGTGATTAGAAAAGTGTTATTAGAAATATTGATCAGATAAGTCTGTACTCAATGACCAAAACATACTTACATGTAAATGATTTTTTATAAGATTTACAAATTTCAAGTGATACATCTCAATAATATTATCAACATTACTTTTTCAGTATTGTTGKGCATTGTCCAGAGCTCATCAGAAAGTAAGTTAGAGTACATAATATGGATAAGATTATAGTCTTCTTGGTTCTTGGCCAGATCTACACCAAGAGAACATTTTGACTCAAATCATCATCAAATTAAATGCAATAGATGACATTCAGTTTCATAATTACAATATTTTACAATTCAGATACTTTGTTAACTTCTATGTTTAGGTTAATTGTGGACTTTCTACTCTTGAAGCTGATGCAGGAACATCCAAAATTCTTACAAGTCCTAACTACCCTGCCAACTACAATCCATCCTTAATTTGTTCCTGGAAAATAACATCTCGTTATACTTCCCTCAATGTGCAGTTAAAGATTGTAAGTTTTGATACTACTGGGACCAGTGGAGCYTGTACAAATRAAACTGATAATCTAGAGGTCTACAATGCTCTTGATGATAAATCAAGTGAAAAACTTGTTGCAAGATACTGTGGTAGCAATGTACCAGAAAATTTGACCATTTCTAGTACTGGAGATAACTATYATCTATACCTAAAATTTACTAGTCAAAGTAATAAAACCAAGAAAGGCTTTAAAATGGAATACATGGCTGTTCAAGATTCAAGTGAGTGTTCTGATCATTTCATTGAATTTCCAACTTTAAAGTACAATGTTTAATAAACAAGCAGAAGTGTTATTGGGTATAAAGGTTTGAGCCAAAGGTGAGCATCTTTTTCCCAATAAAGCGTGACTTTTGCGAGTCATTGAACGGCTTCATCAGAAGAAGAGGAAAACGAGTCACCACACAGGCTGTGGATATAATTTATTCAAGAGATATATTGTGAAAACACTAGAAAAAGCAACTGGTTTATCATTCACTGAATGAGTGATTTACAAAAAAAAATTATTTTTTGTTAAACACCCCAAAGTTTCCTTTGATGAACGCTCCAAAAAATATATTGAAATGATAGTCAAAAGGTGTAATTATCAATGTACAGGTTTATAATTATAAGATAGCCCATCTTATAGAGGATATAACATCGGCGCGCGGAAATACTGATTTTATCTTCAAGTGTTGCAAAGATTCCCACGAGAGAGCGTAGCAATCAAGTGAGAGATTTTAAACACGAAGATAAAATTCATATCTCCAAGCGACTTTGTAATATTCTGTTTATCATATAATTACCCCGGGGGGGGGGGGACTCCCTAATATCAAAGGGCGGGGGTCCTCGGCGGAGATTGTGAAAATGACCCCTAAAAGGGACCTCYWTTGTGAGATGATGGGCGTGGCAGTGCTGAAATTTCAACCCYAAAAGGGACCAATCAATAACAGGTCATTTTGTTTTGGTTTACCGATTTTATTTGTGTTTTTACACAATCATCGAACACCTTCGGCTCGTATTGAGTTTATGACGACGTTGCCATTTTATGACTGCTTAGGGTCGCCGTATACCCTAAAAGGGACCACAAAACACAGTTGGTAGGAATTCTTGTCATAATCACCCTAAGCGGGACCAAAATACTGATTTCAAACCCTAAAAGGGACGCCGAGGACCCCCGCCCTTTGATATTAGGGATAATTACATGTGAAACAAATACCATTTTTCTTGCTCCCATTATATATAGAAACCTCGAAGAGATATTTTCACTAGTGAAAATGAGATTTTTATTTTCACTAGTGAAAATATCAACTTTCCAARAATGGAGAAATAWAGGTATTTCATACATARTTATTTGATAAATCTCAATATTGTCTAATGAAAATATCATATGACTGTATCTTTTGTGAATGAAATTGGTGTCAGCCATGCCATAACGTTCATAAATTGTGCTTACCATAATATTTATTATGTTATTCAGATTGTGGCTCATTTCTTCTTGATGCTGAACTTGACAAACCAAAGATTCTAACAAGTCCAAACTATCCCGCTAACTACCCTCCTCAGGCAAAATGTTCTTGGCTTATCACAGCAYCTTCAGGGAAATTTGTAAAACTGAACTTCACTAACATTGAACTGGCGGATCCTGATAAGTACTTTGGAAGATGTAACCATAAATTTGATACTTTAAAAGTAATTAATTCCAATCAAAGCTATTTGTCTGATTTATATCTTCTTGGAAAGTACTGTGGCAGCATTGTACCTGCCAATGTGATTTCATCCGACAGATACTTAACTTTAATCTTTTCAAGTAATAATAATACAAAACAAGGCTTCAGATTGGAGTACTCTGCCCTTCCCTCCCCTGGTAAGTAGGCATATAGTTTCCAAATTGAAAGAAAACAAAAAACAAGCAGATATCTTTGCTTATTGATTRATTGATAAATGAAAGTTTTACAGCAACAGGTCAGTGAAAGTGAAATGTTGATCGACATGTACTTTACGAAAATTATGTTCKCAGAGWAATATATTTAATTGTTCTCTGAAAATCCTGCAAAAKATTTCTTTGCGACAAGTACTGGTACCATGACTGCCATATTTGCATGTGATTGTTAGATGCAAATTAGGCTAGTCATCTGTTTAATTACCTTTTTCATTTTCTTTTAAGCCAGTTACTATTCCATGTGTATGCCATTGAATTCTTTGCTGAACCCTGGTTCTTTAGTTTTGGATTTGAAAGCTTCTAGTAGTTACCARTATATCAGAAGCCCTCTGTACCCACACAAATACCCTAGCAATTTGTACTGCTCCTGGGATATTACTGCTTCGTCAAGCTCCAAGAGAATCAAAGCTGAAGTGACTGACTTGAAAATCAKTAACAAGGTTGTATTTTCATGCACAAACCTACCACATTTGACAGATGCCTTAGAAATCAAAGGTGGTGATAATTCTGCTCATTATTGTGACCTTAACAATGACACAACTAAAACAGTGATATCATCAGGTCAGCGTATGTCGATTGTGTTCAGAACCAATGCTGATAACTTCTTTAGGGAAGATACAGCAGGGTTTGAATTGAGGTTCGTGGAGATAAGCCATGCTTCTATCTTAAAGTTTGGTAAGTAAAATTGAAAATGTTTAATAATATGCAATGACGTTAAAGCAGATATATTTATTCCCTTACTTTCCTGTAATCACCACACCTATACAAATCTACRAAGAATCTCCTCTTATGGCCACCACCCTCTCAGGGTCCAAAGAGGATGGTCATTTTTTTAGYTTTTTGCCTCCACCTCTTCCTCGGTCTCTTTGAAGGCTCAGATAAAAATGGTCATTATATTTACAAGAAGTCTTTTCTTGCAGGTGTTGGGGTTGTTATTCTTGCTCAGTCTTTGGTGCAAATGATTTGATTATGTCCTGCATTCCTGTAAATCATAGCTAAGCTTGATAGAAAACAAAGCACAGAGAAAATATATATTCACATATTAATATGTCATTACCACAATACTCCAGTTTCGAATTCATAGCGAATAACCGCTGCCTTATTTGAAAACAGATTCTCTTCGTTGCGCAAAGAGCTTACAAACACAAAAGAGAGCACGAGAAAATGTCGTTATTACAATAGACTTGAAAATTTGCATTTTCCCCGAGTTGAGATTATCCCTGTATTCCCATAAGACCCAAGGTATGAGCAGGGTTAGCCTCAACTCAGGGAAAATGTAGATTCTTAGCGCTATTGTATTAACAACATTTTCTTGTGCTTTCTTTTCTTTCTTTTGTCTTTGGTAAGTTCTTTGCGTAATAGAATCTGCTGTCAAGTAAAACAGCGGTTATTTGCTTTGAATTCGAAACTGGAGTATTGTGTCAATTTTGCACACTGACTGAAGTGTATAAACATCTTATGTATCAAGGATGTACATGTTGACTGTAGGATACTGTGGTTAGTTGTTAAAATGTTGCTATTCTATCAAGGAAACCATGTTATGTACACACCCTATTTAAACTCACATATTTAATATATTGGAATCTATCTTGTGGTTAAGTTAGTCATTGCATTAGTGGCCTCCTTTGCAGACGTTATTAGGATACTAATAATGTCTGCAAAGGAGGCTAGGTATTACAGTTTGGAAGTGACTCAATAAATGTTTTAGCAAAAGAACATTGTAGTACATTAAAATTACCTTGACTGTTGATATAATTGTAGTGTTGTATTGATATTGCTTAATTAAAATAAAATACAACAGGAGCGGATCCAGCATTTTATAAGGGGGGGGGGGGTACTTTTGTCAGTATATATAGCTCAAAACTAAGTATAGCAGATGGAACTGATCATTTTTGTTAGCTGTGTATTGTCTAAAGAGCAAGAAAAKTCTGCACAATTTGACAGGAATCAAATTGACTTTTATTGCAACATATTTTTGACTACACTACTCAAATAGATTGTTAAGCTGCATAGTGGCAGACATGTTGTGTATGCTACTTTTTTTCTCGATAAAAGTCATACAACAGGAATATAGAGTGGTTTTCATAAACCCGTGAAACAAAGTGTAATAATTAGAGTGTAATAGATCGTAATAGTCGCGTAGAGAATAAAAAAATGAGCCAAAGTGTGGTAGCGATAAATCCGCTAAAGTGTGTTTCACGGGGTAATGAAAACCACTCTAAACAGTAGAAAAAACRTTTTATACACAAATTTTGTCCAAAATAAAAAGGGGGGTTGCGTGCGCACCCAAAGCACCTCCCTTGGATCCGCCCCTGTACAAGGAWCAACTAGGCAAGACGTACGTCACTCTCATTTAAAGCAGCTGCAACACCAACAATAACAGCAACAACAACCCAATACCCAATACAATCTCCAGCACCAGTACCTACTCATGAGCCCTACCTACAAGGTAATGTAAGCTCTTCCTCCACACACTGCTGGATAATATCTTCTTACTCCTTCTGGCTGGTCAGCTAATAACCCTCGACTGAAAAGAGCTACCAGACAGTGTAGAGTATCAACCTCTCACATTATTCTGCACTTTGATTGGCATGTAAAGTAGCTTCAGCTGGTTAATACTTAAAAATTCAGAAAATTGGCGGCAACTTCGCGGCGAACAACCCCAGGTAATCGCAACTATCGCTTGCGCAGGCGACGAGATTTTCGCAAAACATAGTTAATTGCTATGATCAAAATCACGATGTGGCTAGACGATCGACAATGCTGTATCGATAAAAAAATCCTCACAAATACTTATTTGAATCTCCATAAAAGAGGTATATGTACAAAAACAGCCGAAAATCGCGTCGCTTGCGCAAGCGAAAAATCGCTCGTGTAGCCGCGCCTTTACAGGTGCGATTTTAGTTGTGCGGTAGCAAAAGTGGCGATTATCGCCCGACAATCGCACTGCAAAAATCGTGTAATAAACGGGCCTATAGAATTCTCTCATTTCTCAATGAAGAAGAAGATCTTAGAAAATTTTCAAAGACTTAAACTGAAAAGAAATTTTTGGTGGACGCGCAATTTCGAACCAGCGAGTATGCATTGCTTAACATAGTCCAGTACTGGCCTCCTTTCAATCCGCAACAGGACTCGCGGAGAAAGAGAGCGCTCCAAAAGGAGGCCAGAACTGAACTATGCCTAACCTTATAGTTTCGCTAAACCTAACCGTTAAGCCACAAGATCAATTGGCTTGARTGAACCTGAATTTAAATATTACCAATGAAAAAATACGTTTTCTGAAAACATTTTGCAATTACAAAGTACATCGTCTTCTCTTATTTCCTTATTTAATCCTGTTAATTGTGAAATTCCTTTTATAATGAATAACAAAGTACAAATACGATCTTTTTAATAGTGATTTGTCTACAGCCGAACCTTTATTTAGCATTCGCTCTTCTCCATAAGTCGATTCTTACGATTTACGTGACCTCTAAAAGGGTTAACATCTAGCGGCCATTGGTCAATTGGTGTTTCCCCATGTCGACCGCTTATAGAGGTCTGACTGTATTTACATGATTGTATTTATTTTATGTATTATTATCTGCGCCATAATTATTTCCATTCATGTTGATTTAAATAGCGGAAAATCTCCTATCTTATAGTTAGTTCAGTCATACACAAGTGGCAATTACAAAATTACAAATACGATTTCCTTAAGTAATTAAGGATCATTAAGTAATTTCTAAGATATCAAAACCTACAATTTATCATCATGCATGAATTGTTTATAATAAACCTCCAATTTACAGTGCCCTCACGATTCACAACAATCTCAGATTGTTGAACATTTCAAATCAAGTTATCGCTAAATGAGGTCTATGTTACAATCCACTATAGTTCTAGCTAGTTGTCCTTGGATGATAACTCAGAACACTGGTGGGCCTTGAGGTGTTGGTTCTTTAGTAATAGTGTCCTGTGCGCCTTCATTTTTTACTGATTCCAAAGCTTCGTCACAATTTTCAGGCTTGGGTCCGATCATTTTCTCCTGAGACATAAAAATAATACAGTTGATTCTTGTGGTCACTCCGTGTGACAAAAAGTCACAAAAGTCGAGAACTTTAATTATACTTATACATTCAAATGACCAGGAATAAAATTAAGCCAGAATGACTACTTTGGCGAACTGATGTGCTTCCGCAAGATTTAAATGAAAATGAATAAAAAAGTAGTACCATTGGATACTTTTTGGCCGAATTTTGATGGGACTGAAGCTCGGACAGAGCTGTTCCGAGCGGCGGTCTTGTATGCTGAAGGCAGGAATTATGGCTTCATCCACGCTGTCTCTTCATAGCGTATTTGTACTGACACGACACTCATACACTTGTCATACAGGTTAGCTCCTACATGTTAACTGGGGGAAATAGCCAATGTCCTTCCGACAGGTACTTCGTGCCCAGTAGTGGGATGGAGTCAGGCTTACATGTTATTCCAGTCACTACAAGACCGTACTTCTACCAAGTGAGSTAACTGGACGAGCAGTACAAAAACACCAGAAGGAGACAACAGGGTAACGRAAACTCTAGCAAGAGATAAGCACTTATCGTCCACTTGTAATGTAAGTTTAATTACCAATAGATTTATTCCATTTTAAAGCCTTTTACAAAATAGCTTAGAAAATTGTTCAGAACGACTGTATACTTTATATTTGTAAACTACTACAAAGGTTTTTAAATAGACTTTGTTTAATATTGTCTTTATTAAGTCAAATTTTAATGATATTAACTTATAAAAGGAGAATTTTCCTCAACTGTTTTATAATTATGATTTTTATGATTATGTGTTTACRCTGGCTTGGTAGTCGCAATCATCCTTATTGAAAGAAAATGATTGAAAAGAAGACAAGAAGCGAAAAGGAAAAATAAAATGACACCATTAAAAGGGAAGAGAAAAAAACAGGTTATAAGTGAAAGAGTAAAAAGGAGATGTATTAAGAAAATGTCTTGAAGTGAAACAAAGTCGCAATATCGTATAAAACGAGACTTTCTCTCTTGTAATATTTCAGATCACGTGACATTCCTTATCATCCTTTTTATTCGTATAGTTTCAAAATCAAAAGTCACGCGTTTATCATATTATCCAGGAAATACATTTCTCTTTTTCGAAAACTTGTTATTTGAAAGAACGCATTGACGTTACCTCTAACACAGCCTTTTCAGAAACGTTGGYTACTGTGATAAGACCGCAATGCATTGTTGGTTTTAAGCGCCACATTAGCTGCGTTCTTTCCATTGAAGTTCTAGTATAGTCACCCTAAAGGCCCGTTTACACTTGCGATTTTTGCAGCGCGATTGTCGCACGACAATCGCCACTTTGTTCTCGCGCACCTCAAATCGTACGAGTAAACAGCACTGCGATCGAGTTGCAGTTCAATTTCAAGCATATTGTCGAACGTCAGGCGATTGGCGCGCGACAATCGCGCTGCAAAAATCGCAAGTGTAAACGGGCCTTAAAACCACGAAAACTCCTTTAGAGGGAGCGTCTAATAATGCATTTCGGTCTTGGAATTCAGAATTCAACGTTTTTTAAATAGCAGTATATATTGTGACACGTTGCACCTTTGACCACTACTAATTATGACCAGAATGATTACGAAGCCAGTGTAACTAAATATTGAAATATTCAAATATATATTTACAGTAACTACAAAGAAGGTTTGGTTTTGAWTACTTCTCGTTAGATTAATTTACTATCAAGGCTTGTCATTGTCAGGAGTAGAGGGTGAGCCTCCACCCTTGTATTCCTTTTGCTCGTTCTTTGACGGCCATCCCAGCATCTTAAACTAKAAGAGAAATCAAGATGTAGAGGATTTAGAAAGATATTAGTGTCAGTCATTTTACTGCAGTTTGAAAGATATTCTTAGTGAGAAAACACATGCATTCATCAGTTACTTTAGTTTAATGTGATTAAATATAGGATTGAAGTATTTAGAATACTAAAGATGTCAACAGCTATAGTGAAAAGATAGAGGCCTAACACTTAACTCGGCATTTAAGACCTTACTAAACCACAGGCTTGTTTTTCTTGAAGAATGGCWATTTTAAATTGTAGCTTATAAAGAGAAATTTTGTGCAACATAGCTGATCATGACCCTTACATATCCAAGATAGACACTTTTTCGACCATACAGAATTACATGTAGTGTGGGTAGCAACAGAAGACAGTCAATCAGACAATTAACTTGTGTGATTGTTTCAAACAATCATGTYGATCTTGTGACATCCAAATGTTTTTAAGAGCAATTGTTTCAGATAATAAATTTATTAATAAATGAAGATGCAATATGATCAAAATGTTTAACCATCAAAAATGTTTGATCAACTTTTTTTCGGTGTGCTGACTTCAATTAGATTGCTTATTATTCTCAAAAACAAAAACAAAAAAAAACACAAAGACAAGCAATGACAAGCTTCCTCGAATACAGGAGACAACACCCGCTCTGTAAATTTATACTATAAATAACCTCCTCTGCAGCCATCACTTCATTTGCCATTCTGGGATCCCTCTGGTACCATCTTGATCATCTGGGGGACTGCACTCCACCCAACCTCGTTTACAGGGTCTTTTCTCTGTCTGACAGAGAGAAGTCCTGGGAATGAGGTTGCATTCCACCAAAAAATAAAGGTTGTCTCTCTAACTTTCTACTGTGCCACAGTCTCTTTCTGTCTAATAAGCTTTTTTCCAGTTCAATGTGAGTGAGCGCTGTTTTAGTAGACAACAGATTCACTTGTGTAGAGGACATAAGAATGCACAAAAACATTTTGACATGACAATAGCAATTTTAATCTTCTCCAATTTGAGGCTTTGCCTGAGCAAGAGTTTGAATCTTCTGGGAATACAGACTTAGCGCTATTGTAATGACAACATTTTTTTCATGATTTCAGTTTTGTTTTTTGTAAGGTTGCTACGCATGAGAGACTAAATCAGCAGTTGTTTGCTTTGGACGGAAAAAAGGCGAATTGAGGAAAACTGGACGCTCAAGAGAAGAAAGAAAAGCAKAAGGCAGAGAAACCCCTGCAGAGGAGGTTATTCCATTCAAACAAAACTTGAGAACAACCACRGMCTAATTCTTGATATTGTAGTACTGATTTTACTTTTAACGAACATTCTAAAATGTACTTTTTGTTTTAAAAATTTATATACACATGAAAATCTTTAATGTTAAATGTAACAATATTGATAGACTTAATATTATTAATTCTTTATTCATAATATTTACTGCCAAGAATAAATAGTCAACAAAATTGTCAGWGTTGGAAAGTTAAAATTGGGTACCATCTGATTGGGCTTCCTTTGTCCTTACCAACAGAAAACCAAAATGCATTGGAATAGCGAAGACAAAACGTTTCTTTTGTGGTATAAAAAAACTCTTACTGCAAAGTGTATATGTTGACACTTATGAAGATGAAGAAATTGCTGCTTTCACCACAGAATAAAGACCTCGCCTCCAATCAAGAGAGTCACCTTTGTTCTATCATTACAATTTGACTGACAGATCACAAGTCATACCTTGATGGTTGCTGATGCTGATAACACTTTACTTTCTAGTGACTGAAACATGGTTGAGTCTCTGATAATAAAAAGTCAAATCATAATTTTATAAGTCATTTCTTGTCTTATAGTTTAGACAAATTGTTTTTTTATAATAATAGAACATTGACATGCATTTTCGGAGATACAAATTTGATGTTCTTGTGTTCATATAATCAAACAACCAAAGATGTCATCAAAGTTGAATTATGTATCTCCTCTATATATCAAACAAGCTAATAATAAACTTTTTTATTGTTTATAAAGATATTTTGAAATCAAATTGGATGAACTTATTTCTATTCTACAAACATTTCATTTATCTAAGGGTCTACATTAAAACTATTTCTTGATTTTGCCATGCATTTAATGTATAAAAACAATATTGATCCAAATGACACAGTAGTGAATAGACAATGACATGCAATGCATTGCATTCTTACCTAATTTCTCCTAACTTCTTAGCTGTCGCAGAGCCAGCACTTTTCACAACAGTCACAGTCTTCCCACCAGCATCAACTAGTGCTCCTTTAGTAACAGAGGCTCCTTGGCTCAACTTGTTATAACTGAAAGAGAACTTGGACTGAGAAACCTTACACATTCAAACGTTACACACACAGGAACCATGGAGACAGCCCAGGGGGATACTCCCCCCAAACTTGGGTGGGCGTGTGCCGCTGGGACCTCAAAACCTTGACCCTGTTCCAGAGTAAAATCCAGAGTAAAATCCAGAGTAAAATCCAGAGTAAAATCCAGAGTAAAATCCAGCACTAGCCTGCATGTAGACCAAAGTTTTACCACATGAATTTTTACCCAGCATTGATAATTCCAGAATTAAACCCTGACCCTGTTCCAGAGAAAATTTGTTGAAATCGATAACCTGTTCCAGAGTAAAATCACTAAAACAATACCCTGTTCCAGACTGAGTAAAATTGCTGAAAACGATATCCCGGTTGGCTGCACTACCCCTTCCCCCTGGGGGGAGACTGAGAGAAGAGGCAAAATGTTCTTTCTATCCCTTCTCTGAAAACTTACTACAAATCTGGGAKATTGAGTGCTAGACTTACGCTTCTGAGTGGACAATTTTCTCATTAACATTCTTCAATGATTCAGATGTCTTTTGGTATCTATAAAATGAAGGTAYATATGGTTGGAAATGACATCAAAATAGAGTAATAATAGTGAAGTAGAGGCTGAACAAGTGGGTGGATGCTCGTTACTTATCATGTTATCCATTGCCTGTCATTGTTCTCTAGGCCAGCCACTGCTGGCCGCCCCATTGCCGGATTAGCTCGCTAGTGGCAATTAATTTATTTAAAGGTTAAAGATTAAAGAGTGTTTTTGTCACTTGCCTTCCCTCCTTGGGCAACCATCACCCCACAGAACGCTTGCTTTTTTATTCAATCCCCTCCCCCCATGGTCAAATCCCTCCCTACCCCCTACCCCATCCCTAAAAAAGAAAAAGAAAAAGAAAAGAAAAGTACAAAGAAAAAGAAAAGAAAAGTACAAAGAAAAAGAAAAGAAAAGTACAGTATGTATAGTTTTAGATAACTTACATTTGTGACTGTTGGACACCTTGATAGGTGTTTCCAATACCTTCTCTAATCTGTGACCATGCTGTAATACCAAGTTCTTTTTTAAGGGCTGCTAACTGGTTTTCTTTTCTGTTTAAAGCCTGACGCAGAGTTATAACTTCTTCTTCTATCTGAATGGTACACATGAACAAGATATTCAAAACTTGTTTGGTTTCTTTGTGTGTATATATAAATAATTGTGCCATACATCTTCAGGTAGTTTCAATGATACTTTAAAGTTTTTTCTATCCAAAAAAATACCCTGGTACCAGAGATTTTCTCTTCTTTTATAGATGTTTTTTTAGTTTTTATAATCGTGTTTTTGTCTTTGCTTTTTAACTTAACAACTTCTTGCGGCATAAATTTTAAAATGCAAAGACAAAAATATGATAAGGTAATACTAAAAAAAACATCTATAAAAGAAGAGAAAACCTCTGGAACCAGGGTATCAAAAAAAAGCAAYAACGACAACAAAAACAACACAAACCAAAGACAAGCATCCAGAAAAAGCAAAGGAAAGAAGTGAAAAGCAGTGAGGTA